TTCAGTTTTACGTAACAACACTGACGCTAACACAAGCGTTTACGTACACACATATATATTGTTGAATCTTACTCTCGAGAATCTTCTACAACATTTGAGAATAGGCGGGAGTTTCGCAATACAGATTTAACAGTATACGCTATGTATGTTTTTAAATATAAATTTAACCTAAACAAACGTCGATATTAAAATAGATATATAATAACAAATCCGTCATACAGGTTTCACCTAACAAATATTAATTTATTTTACCATACCTAAACCAATACTTAAGCATTCTCTAAACTTGTACCTTCAACGTTCATATTCACTATATTTCTACATTTGCGTACTTAACAAAACTATGAATATATGTTTCATAGTTTTTGCTTTACATTTTAGTGTTTACAGTCTTAATTAATGGTTAATAAATTTTTAATATTCTAAATAAAACTCAATTTAATTAAAACATTTCTCAAGTGGTAGGTAATATTTACGAAAACCTTTTAATATTATAGAAATAAAAATGTTATGCCAGATTGCATTCCAAAAGTTAGTAGCACTCCTGAGAAGTAGCATTTTCTTAATATAGCAATAAACTACTAGTATTTTTTATATTACAGATATTATTTACTCTAATAAATGAAAACTAGAAATCAAAGGACATTCTTAAGCTTTTTTGTTAACAAATAAAAGTTGTTTTTTAATCTTGAGAACCAAAATGGTTGAAATTCTTGCTTTCTAAAGGAAACCGTGTAAATTTCACGTATAAAAATAATTTTATCGTGTTCTGCTTACTTGAAGATAAATGTTTCCTTTTAAAGTATAGTAGAGAATAATATTTGCGAAAGATCTTAGATGTTTCATTATTTAAACGGTCTGTATATTTTGGAATATTGTACTCCAATCTATGGTTCATTGTATTTAAACATATGTGGTGCTGCCATCTGTTGTAGGTGTACAAAGTTAATAAAATTACAATTACAAGTATTTGCTAAACGAAAAATATGAATGATCGGCTACATTAGTTTTCTGTAACGACAATTCTTCTTCTATTATACGATTTTTATTGCAATTTTGTTGGACTATCGTAAAAAAGATAAAAGGTAATGAAAGTATTAAAACACTACAGTTAGTGCTGCCATCTATTAGCAATCTTATAAAATTAAGATAATTCAGAGAGCATGTTGTTACGACTACATATTTAAATTAGTTAGTCAGCTAAGTTAGTTTTCTGCTACAATAGGTTTTATTACGTAATTTGATTTGAATTTTTGTTGGACTGAAAATATATATATTAAATCACGAACGTAGCAAACATAAAAAAAGCGCGTCCTTAATAACACGCCACGTTATGTCTTCGTGTAAGCAATGACACATTTACAAAGGTTCATTTAGTTACGTTTCTATTTTTTTAAACTTAAGCCTAGGTAAGAGAATAAATAACAGGCCTGAAACAATGTATATCATGCAGAACAAATTATATAGAAAAGGTTACATATAAAACAATTCTTTTCTAGATAATGATAGGCCACTGAAAGCTTTTCGGTAGTTTCTACGTTACGGCACTGTAAGTTGCACAATAAACATAAGACTTCTGTCATAAGTAAACTTGTTTCTGTTTTTTTTTATTAAATAATTATTATAAGAAAGTTGACTCGAAGGTAGCGTGATTCAAACACATGTAAAGCTATATGGTTGTTTTCAGCTTAGGGCATTTATTCATGTTTTCTTAGTACTTTTTTTATCTGTAATAAAATATGTACTAAGTTTAAATTTGATGACGTCATTTCACGGCATATCAGAACTCTCTAGACGACGCTCGAAAAATTAGATTTGAAAAGTGCTTTTGATCATCAGATGAATAGAAGGTAGGGAACTATCTTTCAGCATCGCATTAAGCAATCCAATATCATGAAGGATTAGGAAAAATGGACACGATTTGCTACTTCGTGATGATGGAGGCTGTAACTGATGTGTCGTGAATAGTATTATACAATATAACTAGAAAAATTATGCATGTACTTGACTGTTTAGACAATAAATTTATTTGCTGTTACTCCGCTTAGTGTCACTTGCATCTTGTGTTAAAACAAACTTGTTTTTTCAAACGTTAAACAAAATCTTAGGCGAGTTAACATGAAAGTCTAGTGTTTATATAGTAAAAATATCAGAAGATAGGGGAACTTTTATATTTTTAGGATATTGGGGTGGTTATTCGATCCCCCCCCCCCCATCCCTGGCTACACCCTTGGAATATATATCAGCAAAACACTGAATTTTCACTATGAATTTCTGTTAGCAATAACCGGTTTCAGTATTTTTCCCAGACTTTGAAGGAGAAGGTTTTTAAATCATTTTCACTGACCATTCATCTTCAGGATTTAACACTGAAAATAGGTATGCTTTCACACTTTTATGTACTGGTATAAAAATAACACCCACACAAACAAGTGAATTCAGACTTTTCGTCAGAGAAGGCATTTCACACCCATAATAAAATTATGAAATATTAAATAATAGCATTTTTAAGAAGCCATGTTTCACACAAGTGCGTTTAAATGTAAATGTCTAGATTTTAAAGTTATTGTCTTCTAAAAATATATGTATGTTAAAACTTTATAGTAATCATAAAATTGTTTTAATGGAATGATTTTGTTAACTGTTGTATTTTTTATATTTCATTTTTACATACCACTTACATAAGTTATGTTACTTCCCATTCATTCTCTTTATAAATTACCACCACCCCTCCCTGTCCCAGTGGCTCAGCGGTAAGTCTGAAAGTTTATAACGATAAAAACCGGGTAGTAGGCATAGCACAGATAATCCATTGGTAGCTTTGCGCTTAACAATAAACTTTATAAATTCACACACTTATATACATGTCAGGAATATAAACTTTTATTTGTCTTAAAAGTATAAATTTAATGGTGTGAATAATCACTGTCAGTATCAAGGGGTGTGTTTGTTGGAATCACGACCAAATTACACTTCTTTTTTTCTTTTTTTTTTTTACAGTGAACGCTTTAGCTAAATACGATTAGCGTTATTACTCAGGACCTAATGTCGAGAATACTGAACATGCATGTGGTTAGAGGCAAGATCTAACTTATCTCCTTGCTTATTCATAATCACTGATCGAAAGATGATTCCTATAGTGGCCCAGTAACTCATATTTAAAACAAGCTGTGGAAATATCACTGCCCAGATATTCAGTTTCCATGTTTTTTACAGTATGCACTTACTTCTTATTGTAATTGTCTCTTCCGTCAACTTCTTCAAATTAAAAGAAATTTTGTTCTGTAATTATCCCAGTCATCTACCACTGTCTAACTCCGTTTCGTCATCCAAAGTCCTTTAACATTATCTCATTTTTTCATTCCAAACCCTTCATCATTGTTAAACATCAGTCTGTCATCCCAAGCCCTCATACTATCAAACCTCATTCTGCCATTCCAAA